GGTTCTAGTAATTATGGAATGGTAAAGGAAGAATGCGATGAAAATGAAAAAGGAGTGAACTTGCACTTACTCAATCCTACAAATATTCTACGATTCCAAAAAATTACGCAAGCACGGTGTCAAGGAGAAGAAGTAAGGGTTTCTGCCCGAGATGTTATTGATAAATAAAGAGCCAGTGCGAGACGTAAGTTAATGCAAAGGAAATAACCCAAGAAAGATTACGCGAAATATTGATATGAGAATGGTCCAACAAGTAGTTAGTAGTTGATCCAGGAAGAGCCTAGTTATGGCTAAACAAGAGGACACAGACAAATCAACAGATTGTGCAAGATGAACATAGTGAACCCCAACATGGGGACTTCAGTCTCGCAATATGACATTGTGATACTTGAGAAATATTCAGATAGGAGTCAGGGTAGTAAAGGTACCGTATAAGTGTTACGAAAATTAAAGAGAGTCCCACTGGGAAGACAGTCAAAATATCAGTTCAGAACAACCCTACAAGCACAAGGGCGTGGAAGTAAGTAACTACAGATAATTATAGGAAAGGAAGGGCATCAAAAGGTCCGTCGAGTATACAATGTGATAAGCCTACAGATTTGCAAGAGTCAGAGGGTCCTCCCGAAGTACTACAATAAAAGACTAGATGAGGAAATAAGGAAGAAGGCTTCAACCTAAGCACAATGACCTAAAGAAGAAATGGTCATGTAAAAACAGTCTCACTACAACATTGTATGCACTCCATGAGAAAGTGGCACCTACTATGGCTAATGAACGGGAAGTAAAATTAGAAGTAATATTCAAGATCATATGAGTTGTATGGAATTCCAATATGTGTGGGCACTAAGGTAAGCTAAGTATGCGTGCAACAAGGGGCCCTGAAGACCAGGAAAAGTAATAGCTTACGTTTAAAGAAAGCTGAGAAGGAACAAAAGGAATTATTCGATCAATGATCCAGAGTTAGTTACATTATGAACGCACTTAAGATTTCGGAGCATTATCCATGCATCATATATGTTGGCAATCATACAGCCGTAGAAGACTCTGGTATAAGTTAAAAGAAAGAAATTGAGTCCATGTCATAGACAAAGGATTGAATTATCAGAAGATTATATCATGGATATTCCATATCGCCCATGAAAGGTTAAAGTAATAATTAATGCCATGAGCCGCAGATCAAGAGATAGCTTAAGCCTACATAAAGGCTGATCAGAAGGAGGAGGAAACTAAAGAGTTACATCAACGAAGTAAATCAGGAATCTGATTATTGGACCCAGAAAATCATAGACCTCGTGATTGAGAACATTGCAGGATTACTCTTAAATATCAGAGGTATAGAGAGAGAGTACAGTAGCCATATTCTATAATGGCTCTACGATAAAGCTAGTTAGAAGAAGTACTTTCCTCATAATAAGTCGGTATGAAGCTCCCACTGGGTTGTGTATGCACCAGAGGTGCAAGTATTATAATCGAGTTTCAAGTTGCGGATGTGAATTATACCTACGTGGAAGGAAGTTCATGAAAGAGAAAGAAAATGTGACGTGAGATTTTAAGGTAAGTAAGGTAAAGGTAAATAACGTACGAAATACTCAAATGCAAAAGGTTGTGGATAGTCCATACTTCGGATAGAAGGCTAAAAGCGCTAGGATTCAGTATCTAGGAATGATAGCGGCACCGCCAGCGGCATGTCTTCCAGCCTATGGTTTCTAGATACCGAGAGATCAAGTTAAGAGAGTAAAGAATAGTTATAAACGATGTGATGTCTCGCTTGATGTTCTAAAATAACACAAGAAAATCTGTGGTGCAAGCAAGTTAAAGGAAGGTTGCGAGTAGTATAAATAGATATGTATGGGTCGCAAGCTAAAGTATAGTAAAGCGACAAGGTTTTAGGAAGACATGAGTAAGGATGAGAAAAGGTGAGCGGAAAGGTGACCGGAATAGATAAATCCTCGGGATTAAGCTCATGAAAATAAGAGAGCTGATGGTTTCTCTAAATTATAGAAAGCTCAGTATAATCTGAATGAACTCAAAGGAGTCTAAGACTAATAGCATTTAAAAGAGATGGAATGTTGCCCTGATAGTTAAATAAGGGTATATTTGTGATAAATGAAGGATGACGTTAGGACCTTCGATTGAGTAATGACTTAAAAAGGATTTCATGAATTGTACGGGATTAAAATACCCATGTAAGGTGAGTCATTGGGATACTATGAGATACGCTTATTAAAGCATGGTATCGCCCCGGGTGGATCAGTCTAATCATTTCAGATGTTCCCCGATGTAACATGGACCCTAGGGGCAGTGTTACATAAAAGGTTAAGTTATCAGGGGTAGATTATAGGTCAATATTGAGGTGAATCAACAATGGATGGATAAAAGTTATAAAGTATGAGATGAGATTAGGCCGTCAGTCTTAAGATGAATAGTAATGTGGAAGCATTAAGGGGCATAGATTTATACATATTGGATAAGCAATGAAAGTAACCTGGAATTTGGTAGCAGACCTCAGTAACGAGAAATCGAGGTAAGAGTTATGGTATAGTATGACCTACTTAGATGCAGTAAAGTCATACGGATGAATAACCGGGTCTATGAAATACTATATGGCAATATTAGACAAAATACCGAGCGAAGAACTTCAGTAACAGCTAAAAATTGGAGGAAAAAGGAAAGAAGAGACGCATAAGCGCACTTACAAGGTCAGAGTCGTATAGGCTGTATGATAGAAGGTAGCGACAGTTACGAGATTAGAAGGATTCTGACTACAAGTTGTGGTGTGAGAAAGAGGCTTAAAGGGGGGAATGCCCTGACCTTTGGATTTATTCAAAGAACAGTTGCCTAAATGGCAAGAAGAGTATTAACGTATTCGGAAGAGCTATGGGTTATGAGAATGATAAGTGCATCAGTCAACATTCGAGGATGAATGTTCCAAAGGGGGGAATGATGTTACACCCCAACTTTTCGTACATGGAAGTACGCTATAAGTAAATTAATATAAGCTCGGAAATGAGATGGTACATCCCGCATTTTCGTATGTTAAAATTTCGTAGTAAGCTAATCGACGTAAGTTCGAGAATGGGATTATTTTGAGGTTATAAGCATTTATGCTATATCAAAACAAGTGATGAGTAAATTCGTGAAGGTGAGAGGCTAAGTAAATCAAAGAAAAATGAATTTTGTCGAAGTTTTGGCAATTTGTGGATAAAATACGGTCCAAGCTATAATACCCGATATTTATGGACTAGTACCATACAAGGTACTACGTGGCCATGATAGTAAGGTGTACAAGGTATGTTAAAAGTGAGTAGTATTTTAAGTAAGTTGAGATAATTCTTAATTAATGGGTAATGGGATATTACCCAATTAATTAAGGAATTTTTGTGGCTAAGCTTAATCAAGACTTTTGGATAAGTATTAACTCACTTCTCAATAAAACAGGTATCCATGTCTTAAGAAGAGTACTACTGCATTTGTAAACTATGCGTGTTCCCATTTAATGTGACACATTACTCCTATTCATTCCATTTTCTTTACGATACTCAATCTCACTTTCCCCCTAACTTAACGTCATCTTATTCTTCTTTACTTCTTTCATTATACTACAATTCCATGGGAGCCCATATGGGTTTCAACGCATTACTAGCAAGTTACAGGTTTTGTAACACAATTTGGAATTTATATAATAGCAGCGTAAGACGCAATTCTAAGAGAACACGGTATATTCTTTCTCAATAATATCATACGGATTTTTTCCTACTCCAGGTATGTTAAGGCTACCCCTTCTTTCTTTTGGCATTGTCCAAATGATACAAATGAAACGTGCAAAATACGCAACTTCCATAAATGACTCTATTCATAGAAATATTATGGGTGTCTATATTCTTGATTCCCATGTGAATTATTATTATATATTCTGTTCATGGGTCTCAAAAAAATATGTATTTGATAAAATTTATCCGACAGGCATATTATTTTTATGACATTCCGAGAAAATCTTATTAATGTATTTCTTAAGGCATATTATTTTATGACATTCCGAGAAAATATTATTAACGTATTTCTTATGCATTTCATGCATTTATGCATATACATTGACCATGACTAGATGGCGTTATATACGCATATATATGTATATTATATGTATATGGAATATGAGAAAAGGTTATGGCGTTATATACGCACCATTACATGATCAGCTGGTATACATTTATGATTTGCCCACAGTAGCCGAAATGATATTATGGGATGACCTCAGAGGCTTGATAATGTTATGAACGCATATACCTATGCATGGTATGATATTTATACGCATATGCATGACATTATAAAAATGAAATGACTCACAGAGCTATGCACACGTACATGTCGACTCTTTTTCTCCATGTTTCTCTCATGTCTATTATTTACTGATTTTCATTCCTTACATACTCGGTACATTATTTGTACTGACGTCCCTTTTGTCTAGGGACGTTGCGTTTTATGCCCGCAGGTCTCAATAAACAGGTTGAGAGTCCTCCAAGTAGGCGATCAGCTCAACAGAAGACATTAGTGCACTCCATTTGCTCCGGAGTTTCTTGTTTGGTCAGTATAATTTAGATGTGTATGGTTTAGTATGGCGGGGCTCTGTCCCGACCTTTATGACAATTATGTACTCTTAGAGGCTTGTAGACATATGTCGTGTACGTGAAAGATTGTACGGCCTTGTCGGTATATGTTTTGAATTTATAAATGATGATATTGGCCTATTAGGCCCGTATGTCACGTGTATATGATGATGTAATAAGAAAGATATGTTACGTTGGTACTCGGTTGATTAAGGTACCAAGTGCCCGTCGCGGCCCACCGGTTTGGGTCGTGACAGTAAGCCAAAGGAGACCTCCAGCTCCCGAGTGCTTGACTCAGAATCACTACTCCGGCTCAGAGACGAGCCCGAGGAGGATGACATCTTTATGGCCAATGAGCCATCTGTCCCCGAGGAATGAGTGGCAACCGAAGGGGAAATGACTGAAGCTAAACCCCCTCAAGTTCGCGAGGCTGATGTCGAGGTAAGGGCCGAGGACTCGTGAGATGTCGGTCCCGCCTCGCCCGGCGTTATAGATATTTTAGGATCATCTTCGTTCACAGAATCAATGTTCGATGAATCCCGAACGACGAAGGAGCGATCCCATGAGAAGGTCCATGGAGCGGATGATCCCCTCTGAGGCTTTTTTGACGGTATAGACTCATCCGCCCCGGAGGATTTTATCGGGTTGGGTGGCTTAGAAGTGCCGAAGAAAAGTCCACCTTCGGAGGTTGGCGGGTCGATCTCGAGCCCGAGATTAACTAATTAGTTCCCCGCTCCGAGCATGGATCCTGGTTGGATCGGACTGTCATTATCACCATACCCGAGGATGCCCGGATCCTTTCCGCCCCCATAGGGATAGCCAATTACCTCCGGTGTCTGGTAACCGAAGAAGACCAGGCCAAAATGAACGAGGTAGACGTGCCATGTCCATTCAACGAAGCACAACAAGCGCTGAATCGGGTAATTCCTGATAATTCTCGATGATTCTTCTAATATTTGAACTAATTTTTGATAATTCTAATATCTTTTCTCATATTTGCAGGCCTCAGTGCTCCACCACAAGACCTTCCTCCAGTATCGGTATGAGCTGAACCAACTCGAGGCCAAAGTAAAAGAGCTTGCTGAAAAGAGAGGCATGTATAAGCTTCTCAGTGAACAACGTGAAGGAGAAGTCAAGTGCCTCCGAGCCGAGTTGGACGCGACTCAAAAGAAACACGCCGACCTGTTGGAACAGGTAAAAATCTTTGAAGTTAGTGATTCTGAGCTAGACACGGTGTCTAATAGTCAGAATTCACATGTCTAGAAGAAGTTTGATCGCGTTGACTAGCTCCGGGCTGAGATGGATGAAGTCAAGGCCGTGGCTGAGGAGTGGAAGGTCAAGATGGATCGATTGGCTTCGGAAAAGGAGACCGCCTGGAAGCAACTGGCCTCGGTGGAGGCCAAACTTCGATCGATGAAGGAGAAAGCTGAAACTCGGTCCCAAAAAATCAAAGACCTCCAGTCTCAACTGGGCTCGGCCATTGCCGCACGGGATACCCTTTCCAAGGAGCTTAAACTAGCCAAATCAGCGGCGAAAATAACCAGGACTGACGCTGAAGAGATGGTGGCCTGGTATAAAGCTTTGAGGGGTGAATTTATCCGAGACATACCTTATACCTCATGCAGAAGTCTAAGATGATCGAGTTCACCAGGCCCAATGTAAAGGGATAAGAGTAAACACTCAGATATCCCTCGACATGGGTGGTATTGACCTCTTCGGAGTCGGGGACCATGATGTCCTTGTCGGCCCAGTTGCAGTCCTTTCAGACTGTGGGGAGGTCCTCTTCAGTGATTGAGCAAATGTATCTCGAGGCATCTTCACGTCGACCTTGTACAGAAGAAGGCTTTTCGACCTTGAAGTCGTCAGTGATCGAAAAACCTCCAGGAATGAACATCTTCAAGGGAGGTTCAAGAGCTGGTTCATCGATAACCACTTTAGCAGCAGGTCTCCCGAGGTTGACCACATCGGAAGTAGTTTCGTCAGTCGTTTGGGAAGTAGAAGCGACCTTTTGGGGAACAGATTTTGAGGTTTTTGCCATTGTTATAAGTGAAAGCTTGTAAGAGATAGAGAAAGGTTGAAAGCTGGAAGCTCAGATATGTTGGCTTGAGTAGATGATGAGTAAAAATTTCAAAGGAATCTCGAATAACGGAGGTAAAAATGCTAGAATGTGAAAAGAGTAGTGAAATCCTGAGGGTACGAGGGTAGATGGTTTAATGTAAAGTAAAAAATGAACGAAAGAGGGGTTATTTATAGTGGTTCCGCGACATTTCGCCTCCAGGGACAGCCGACCGGTGGCTGATGTGCATTTAATGTCATTATGACATGACTAACGAGATGTTTTGGGCTTTTTGTCGTTTATGACACGATGTATTGAAGAAGGAATCAGGATGCTCATGTCGTTTCTCGTCAGCTTGCTTTCCGATAAACGTGGGGACTATCTGTATACGGGTAAAAACTAGGCTCATGAAACACTCCGACCTCCAATAAGGTAAAACAAACTCGATATATGATTGCGAAAGATCGAAATCGAAATCGAAACAAAGGTCTCGTAGATTCAAAATCCGGGGGCACAATGTCTGCCTTCGAGAATATCGGGGTCATGATTCAAGATCGATCCAAATCCTGAAAGACTTCGGAATACATTGTCGGGCAATCAAGCACGACCAACATAAGGACATAACATCCGTAATCGGCCGAATATCGCGGCGTGGATCCCGACACGTATTGATAAAGAACCGATAATCAGAAGATTTGTTTCCTTTTATAAAGTTGTACTTAGAGTAGGATCTCCCTACTATATAAAGGGGGGTCTGATAATTCATTAGACACATGGTAACACGTATTCCAAATCAATATATTTTTATTTCCACTGTTATTGTATGCTTTTTCTCTCGTTCATCAAAATTGTCCACTGTGAGCCCGGATCGAGGGTAAATGCTTCACCAAGGCTGGAATCCTCCTCCTCGCATGGTTTGAAATTATTATATCTTTACTTGTCCATTCTTTCTCAATTTATCGTTTTATATCAAATTAATCCGCATATCTTTAAAACCACTTACAAATTTAATTGTTATCCGATTTTGAGGGTAAACAAAGCGTGATCGATAGATGGTCCCGACAAATAGCTAAACGGGCTAGAGCAGGACATGTCAAAATCTTGGGCGCTATCAAGATTAGGTGCTCCGCGTGATCATCCATTGTAGCTTGTCAAAGATAAATCTTGTTGTTTTCCCTCTTCTATTTTTTTGTCATGCTAGATGTTTTTTCTTTTCTCTTTTTCCTGATGCCATTACTTTAGTTGCCTAGTTGTTAGGTTTTGCCCAAAGGAACTCGTCTTTTACACACGGTCGATATGGACTATGACCATGGCTCTATTTGATTAGTTACTCTAGGCGGTCCTCTCTAACTTTATATGGATTGACAATAACATCTAATTAGGACATGGGTAACTGGCATTAAGACTACAGGTTCTGTGAACGTATCTGTAATGACCCGACTTGTTGTTTTGAGAATTAACGTTCCATTCAGGGACTTAAGGTCCCGAACAACTTTGTAACATATGACCCATGTGTGTGGTTGAGTTTGGTTTTCGGAAGATTCAGAATTTAATTGAAAGAACAATTCTTATTTTTGAAGCTTAAATGAAAAAAGTTGACCGGAGTTTTTAAGCAAATGACTCTGGAATGGAATTTTGATTATTCCAATAGTTTCGTATGGTGATTTCGGACTTAGGTTCATGTTTGGATTTAGATTTGGAAGTCCGTAGGTCAATTCGACGCATTTTGGCAAAAGTTAGAAAATGGAAGATTTTTAGAAAGTTTGACCGAGAGTTGACTTTATTGATATTGGTGTAGAAATTCGATTCTAGAAATTGGAATTCATCCATTATGACATTTATGACTCGTGTGCAAAATTTGGGATCATTCTGGATTGATTTGATACGTTTCAGCACAAGATATAGAATTTGGAAAATTTCATAAACTCATAAGTTCGATTCGAGGTGCGATTCGTTGTTTCGCTGTTGTTTGATGTGATTTGAGACCTCGACTAAGCCTGTAATATATTTTGAGACTTGTTGGTATGTTCGAACGGGGTCCCGAGGGGCTCGGGTGAGTTTCGGAGTGGTTTCAGACCATTTCTAGGCCATTTTTAACTGCTGGGTTTTGGTTACAGCAGTGTGCATCGCAGAAATATTTGCTGCATAGGGCTGACTTTGGCAGCTTATATCTCGTAATCTGTAAGGAATTTGGAGATGATCCAAAAATAAAAGTTGTAGTCCTTTGAGTATAATTTCCATAAATGTAAACCATTCATAATATAGATATTTGTACAAAAAGTTATTATCAATAATCTGAAGCCTGGTACTACAGTTGTTTTGCCTGGCAGTGTGCATCGCAGAAATTTCTGTTGCACAGGGCTAACTTTGGAAGCTTATCTCTCCTAATCTATAAGGAATTTGGCAATGATCCAAAAATGAAAGTTGTATCACTTTATATCTAGTTTTCATAAAATTAAACCGTTTGGTAGTTGGAGTTGGGGACAAAAAGTTATGATTGGTACACTAGAGGCTATATGGGAAGAGTTTTGAAATTGCGAAAAAGAAATTTTTGCTACACAAGACTGAATTTGGGAGCTTATATCTCACTATCTATAAAGAAATTAGGAGATAAGTAAAACATGAAAGTTGTAGCCCTTGGTGTATAATTTCTAGAAAGTTAAACCATTTATTATTCGGACATCGTATGAGAGAGTTATGTCCATATTCGTATCAGAAAAACTGCTATTTTTCTGGGACTGAGGCAAATCGCAGGTGTCAAATGCGATTTATAAGTCTCAAATGTCAAATGCGACTTGCCTGCATAGATTCTAAAAATGGGGTTTTTGGCTATTTTAACATATTTTGAGGTATGGAGCTCGGATTAAAGTAATTTTTGAGGCAATTTTCACCATATGGATTGGGGTAAGTGTTCTATATACAAAAGTGATTATACTTCATGATACCATGGTTATTTTTATCAATTATTAGTGAATCAAATGGAAGAAATTGGAAAAATTTGTAAAACTCTTCAAGAACAAAAATTTAAGATTTGGAGGTCGAGTTATTATGAATTTGATAAAATTGGTATGGTTGAACTAGTATCAGAATGGGTGTTCAGATTTTGTAAAAATTCTGTCGGGTTCCGAGAGGTGAGCCCCGCATTGACTTTTGGTTGACTTTTTAATGTGAAATTTTTAAGTCGACATTTTATTATCCGAAATTATTTCCGATAAAGTTTAATAAAGTTATACAATTAATTTGGATAGATTTGAACTGTCCGGAGGTCAATTCAAGCAAGAAAGCTATTTTGAAACATCAGCCTAACTTCAAAAAGGTAAGTATATTGTCTAACCTTGAGTGAGGAAAATTACCCCTTAGGCATTGAGTCTTATGTAAAAATTGTGTAATTAAAAATCATGTACGCGAGGTGACGAGTACATACTTGGTTTATATGTGCAAATTATGTCGGTTAAAATTCATAGACGCCTTTATGTATTAAATTGGAAATTGTTGGCACTTATTAAATCCTTTATTTGTCATCCCTTGTTCCTTGTTTGCCGATGTTGTTTTTATATGATAATTTGGTGTGATAATCACTTTGATTTTTATGTGATATATTGTGGTTAGCTGGGTTAACATTTCTTGGAAATAATCTCATTATGGATTCTTTATCTATAGAGTTGGCGAAGATCCTCTAGAAGAGGAAGATCAATATAGCGTGTGTCCAGGAGACAAGGTGGGTAGGGTCGAGGGCGAGGGATGCAGACGTGTATAAACTTTGGTACTCAGGAGTCCAGAAAGGTAAGAATGGAGTGGGCATCTTGGTGGATTGGGAACTTAGAGAGTCTATGGTTGAGGTTAGATGAGTGAATGATAGATTCATGATTATTAAGTTGGTGGTTGGAGAGTGCACCATAAATGTCGTTAGCGCCTATGCGCCGCATGTGGGCCTAGATGAAGAGGTTAAATGGCGCTTCTGGGAAGGGTTAGATGAGATTGTGCGTCAGGTTCCGCCTGCTGAGAAGTTATTCATAGGAGGGGATTTCAATGGGCATATTGGGTCGACCACAGGTGGTTATGGTGAGGTGCACAGAGGCTTCATTTTTGGGGAGAGGAATGGAAGAGGTACATCGTTGTTAGACTTCGCTAAGGCTTTTGGGTTGGTGATTGTGAACTCTAGCTTTCGGAAGAGGAAGGCGCATTTGGTTACTTTTCAAAATGCGGTGGCGAAGATTCAGATTGACTATCTCCTCATCAGGAGGTGTGACAGAGGGTTGTACAAGGATTGCAAGGTGATTCCAGGTGATATACTTGCGACGCAGCATAGGCTCTTGGTGATGGACATTGGTATTATGTTAAAGAGGAGGAAAAGGTCTACTCGAGGAAGTCCGAGAATCAGGTGGGGAGCCTTAACTAAGGATAAAGCCCAAGAGTTGGAGGGGCGGTTGTCAGCTATGGGAGCTTGGAGGAGCAGTGGTGACGCGAGCACTATGTGGTCAGTGACAACAGACTATATTAGGGAGGCTGCAAGAGAGGTGTTAGGGGNGTGGAAGCAAAGAAGGCGGCGTACCTGAAGTTAGTGGGGAGCATAGGTGAGGAG